GTGATATTTAGTTTAAGTTCCCTCTGTTTACTTTGTTTTTCATTGAATATTCTGGACGTACCACAGTATGCCACAGATGAAAAAGTGTAGATCCTAATTATTATTATTACCAAAGATCATAGTGATTAGTTATAGATCTTTGTTTACCGGGTTTTACTGTACCTTGTTAATACTGCTGAAATTTAGAGGGCGCTACACCCGGAAACAAAAAATAAACAATCAAGGTAGCTGGTAGAGAGAACAGAGATAACTGCACAACGGACCAACTGTTCCTAAACCTGAACAGATAGAATGAGTCTGGTTTATAATATTATGCATTTAGTCTGATATAGGCCAATATTTGATGAACCTGATAATATGGAGATTTTCTACGAAAGATTATCACTGTTGTTGTTACTACTATTAAGCAAATTGTCCATCTCTTTAACCCAACAATGTAAGTTAATCAGTTGCGCGCATACTAACTAGGCTACTACTACTAACTAGTACTACTACTAGGTATAGGCCTACCTAGCCTAGGCTAGGGCCTAGTTTGTTACTTCCCATGGAAGGCCCTAACTAGCCCTACCCTAGCTAACTCTGTTCGGGTGGCTAGCCTTAGCATGGCCGAGGTACGGTATGGAGAATGCCATCCGTTTCGGCCGCGAACCATCCTAACTAAGCATAGCTAGCCTGGGCCAGTATAGCATAGGCCTATATCCTGGCCCTTTAAACATAGATGCCAAGTTAGACCAATTTGCAGGCGGGAGATTTTATTTTTAAAACCCCTCCCCTAGGGGTTGTAGGTATGCCCCCCCCCCCTCAGGAAAGATCTTCTAGATGCTCAGAAATACATTCTTTAGGCTAGTATTTTTACAGCTGAAAATAGGTTAAGAATCCGCATTATTTTCCAGAGAATTCATGTTTCTGCCATCCACGAACCTGTCACACTCGCATAACCGAGCGTGTAGCGGTTGGTAGTGTGTTCTTTTATCTTATCCGACGATACTGACAGTGCCTTGTAAAAGAACAACATATTCTGTTTTGCTGCAGCAAGTTTTAATCTAATCTATAAAAAAAAAGAAGATTTTCAAATATTTACTGACCCTTATCAAAATTTATTTTTGAGAAGGTTGAAATAGAAAGCCAATTACCACCTCAACCAGGGTGTGGTGTGCCACCATTTAATTGTGTTTGAATGTGTAACGACAAAACCATCCTATTTTAAGCACTTTAATGATAGATACATATTTAGCAAAAGAATAACAAAATATACACACATTATTTTTTTATATGCAATATTACATTTACGCGTGAGATTTTGGTCCCCAAGCGTGAGAGCATGAAATAGATCGCAAATGGGGGAGTCTCACGCCGAATGCGTGAGCATTGACGTGTATGCCTTAATGAAAGCGTAGTAACACGTACGACAGCTAGGCACCCTCGTTAATGCATACCTGCTGTAGATACAATTGTTATTTGTGGACTACCGGCAGAGACAATTCCTTTAATGTTATGTGGGGGTGGGTGGGGCCTCATTATTTCCCTTCTGGTGGAAGGTCAGTCAACAACTCTCCTGCCCACTAGACAATCATCTTATTTTCGTCAACCTCTCAACAATTTCTTTCATTCATTTATTTATACGACCATACATGCACTAGCACTGAGAGGCAAGTAGGCATGGCCAGTGCCCCAGGGTCTGGTACAAACAATAAAAAAAATTAAGGTGTATTTGGAAAAAACAAAACACAATATTTATTCAATGACAATATTATGTTTCTAATCAACTGGATTTGGCATCTAATTGCATACCCCCCCCCCCCCACTCTTGGGGCCTGGCGGCCTTGCATACACCTACAGATCTATTGCAATAAAAATTTTATAATTCAGGTCAGTGACATCTGAAAAATTCTTAAAATATTTATGGCTCAAAGAGTTACTGTAGCTCCTCCACTAATATCAAACATTTATTTTCTGCCACAGCCTGATGGTGAAGCTCACTTCTTCAATATAAACTGTTAACTGCCTAAAAAAGCCATGAAAAATTATTATAAACTTGCCTTTTTCAAATAATAATTAAATTGTATTATTTAAGTTATTGACATACAAAATTTAATAACAAGTTGTATGCTTTGGTGTCACCAATCATTTTGAGAACTTTTGAGTGTCATTGGTTTCAAAAGCCCTATCATAAAGTGTGCTAATGTCATACTCACTGATTATGTTGGGGATTCACCATGTCTACACCGTCAGTCAATTTTAAATGTGTATGCTATGGATTGATTACATAATTTTTTGACTAGTTTACTAAAAGAGCTTGGATTTCCAAAACAAATATAAGATGAAAACATGTGGTTTGGTTTGGGTTTAAATTTTTAGAAGTGAGACATTTTTCTTTGTTTATTACTTTCCTGTTATCAAAAGTAGCCATTTATTTAATTCATTTATATTCTCAATTTGTAAAAAAAAATTATTAAAAAAAAAAAAATTATTTTTATGTACAACAGCAACAGATGTTTCAAGAGATAAGTCTGCTGGTCAGTCTTCAACTGATAGTCCCAGTAGTGATTATTTTGCTGATTTAGCTGTTGATGGTTCTGATAGTACATGTTCTCAAACAAGTAAGTATCCCAGTTGCAGTTTCATAGCGTCCATCACCTCTGGCAAAAGTCAGGGGCAGTGACGTGGAAATTAATGTTGAAGTAATTTACTTTAGACAGTATAACAACTAATTTATGGTGTAAGAAGTATTCAGAGTCATTGAGGCTCTGGCTCCGTCTATAGTTTTGCACCTTATAAAAAAATTCAGTGGATGTATTTATTTTTATATACCGCATACATATTCTAGACATCTGATTGGTTAAGAAGCTGGCAGTAAACTTCAACCATCACAGCTATGACGTAGGTTAAATGATAGTTCATTAATTCCTGAGAAATAAAAGTACTACAGGATATCACATTAAAATGCTAGTACTTTTTTGCCCTGTTGCAACCCTATAATGTTGCTACAATATGTGATTTATGACACATACGGTAAAGGGGACACAACCTCTCCAACGCTGAGAGAGATTGGCTCTTTGACCGCTTAAGCCTCTGAAGTAACTATGGGCTTTAAGATTTGGTGTACTCTTTTCATTACTTTTTTAGGTCTTTATAGAATCTATGTATGAGGTATATCAAACAATTGTACTGGATAGTAGGCTATGGTCTCCACATCACCTTAGCCTACTATTCATCACCCATTTTCAAAATCCGTAGAATTCTATCGAAGATAATAACAGAGCGCCTTAAAGGTGCGTACGAGAAGATCCTCAATGAAAATCAGTATGGCTTTCGTGCTAATCGATCAACAGCTGATGCCATTTTTATTACCAACAATGTAATACAAAAACATGATGGAACACTTGTAGTA